ATTAATCCCATCGTCTGTTCAGTGTGTGGAACTGCTGAGTGGGCTGCACAGTGAATGAGAAGCTGTAGGTGCTAGGGAAAAGGGGTATGGTGTGTAGGCGTGTTTGGAGCACATTCAGAATTCATGCCTTTCCCTAGCTGTACTTATTGAATGTAAAAATTTCCTTCTGTGTCTCCAGTGGTCACCAGTAATGGGAATGTGCAAGTGCGAAGGTCTGATGGCGGTGGGAAAGCAGGTGGAACGTGAAACAGGCTGGAGTGATGGAGGGGCGTAGCCCTTCTCTGCATCTGTGGTTGTCTGCGTGCTGTTGCTCCACTGAAGAAGGCTCCAAAAGAGTCATGCATCTTGCTCAGAGCAAACAGAATGGTAGATTCGGCACTTCAGATTGAGGCCAGAATCTAACAAATGGACTAAACCAAACTGACAGCTCCCAAGGTCATGGGCGTTGAATATATAAGGATTCAGCTTTGAGTCTTGCAGCCTGAGTCCATCTCTAGCGAACAGAACGTGTCTGCCACAGAGGAGCTGGCACTTCTTAGATGCTGGCTGCGTGTTACACTTCCTTCTGCGGCAGATCTGGTTTAACAGCGTCTGTGAAACCCAAACTCCCTATCCTGCAGACTGTCTCTCACTAGAGCTGCAGTTCTGCACTGTGGTTCTTCACCAGCAAATTTAGTTTGAGAACTTCCCACTCTGAATGACTTGTGTCTGCCCCCATACTGTGATTATTAAGTAGTTTGTGTGATTGCCCTTTGAACTGGATCTATGATATGGTACAAGGAGAAAAAACTATTTCCCTCAAACCCATCAACCCCCCACTAAGTATTTGTTCTTAAAAATAATGATTTCACAGATCTAATTTAGAATCAGCACAGCTGAGGGGGCCATAATGACTGTCTGTAAATTGGGTGGTAGGAACTTCTTAAACCAGAGCAGCTGCCAAAGGCATCTTAACATGGAGCTTCTGCTGTAACGAGAGACAGCTTGGCAGGCGAGGATCTGCAGCCAAATAGCTGACTCCAGGCTTGTGGCTTCCCACCTGGGTATTCAAATCAGCACTCCTTAGGCCCTGCAAGCTTTTAGATGCCTCCATGCTGAGTGGAGCACCAAGGAGCGGGGAAGGTTTTTGAACGTGAGTAGTCAGGAGGAGAAAGGTGTTGTGTATTGCACATCTCAGAAGCCTGTATTGTTTTTTAGAGGGCTCAGGCAGGATGGGGAGGGAGAGCTTTGTTGCTGGCATATACAGATGTGTTTCCAGCCAGACATTGAGCGTTAGCAGTGCAGAGAAAAATATGTGATTGGGCTTTCAGTGGGAAACAACAGCAAAAAAATCCTTTCCATTTCTTTCAACTGGAAAGTGATGCCAGGAGCTGTTGTTTTAGAGAATAAGAAGTCTGGATTTATAAGCATGTGTGTGAGATACACCTTGGAACGTGGATCAAGAAAATCTACATAGAGAAAATGCATAGCATAGAAAGTAGGTCTCACTGCTGGCTGTCACTGTTCAGGGAAAATCAAGCATGTTGTGGAAATCTCTTTGTTTCTTAAATAAAATAAAAAACGAAGAAAGAAAAGAACATCTGTTTGTGTATAAATAGATGTGTGTGTTTCTGATTTCATAGTGCCCATTACAGTATATGCCAATTTTTCTGGAGTGCCAGAAGGGAAGGAACATCTCCAGAAAAGGTTGAGGTTACAACACCCAGATAAAACCTGCCTGTGCTACCTTTATAAAGATGAAGTCAGCTTAGTCTTGCAGAGAGCAAATGCACTGGTGAACTTGAGGTAGTTGCCAGACCTTTCTCACTTCTTTTTATACGATTTGCCAAATCCTTAGCTAGCTGGAGGGTGAATATTAAGACAGGCAGCAGCACTGAAAGCTAAGCAGTGGTATGTTGAAAAGTTCTGCTTGGGCAGGAGATAATTAATGTGATTTTTTTTTTTTTTTTTTTTGCAGTGACTGCCTTAGATACCCTAAAGCACTGGCTTGAGCTGGAAGGAAGGGCACCTCTGAAAGGATGCTGCTGTCCCCTGGGAGTGGGCTGGAATAGTGTCCAGTGAGCCCCGAACACAAAGCCGATGGGTTTGGTTTTGTTGTTTATTAAAGACAGGCCTTTGTAGAGCAGTAACGGAAAATCCTATTTCTGTACCAATAAAAACTTTGCTCCCATGGTTGCTGTTATTGGCAAGCTTAGTCACTTTGGTGTTTATGGAAAAGTATTTACTGGGAAGGGCTGGATGGTTAGCAAGCTTCATCTGCTTTCATTTTGTTTTGATGGCCCACATGTTGCTGTGGGACCTTCTGTTTCATCCCTGTACCCCGTCCACAGTCCATCCTTCCAGGCTGGTATCCCTCTTCTGCAGCGTGGACAGCCAATGCCCCTGCTGTTTGCTGTAGCAAGGTAGAGCATTGCCTGGGTCTGGCTTGGACTCTTCTTTTTGGCTTGTGGGGGCATCAGCTTTGTGTTGGTTCCTACTTTACCACACAGGATGCTGAAACAATGCAGTGTGTGTTTTATAGCAGTCAGGCTAGACCTAGTTGGCATGTGGGGTATCAGCCAGCTGATAATAATAAAGAACTTGAGTGCTGCAGAAGGATTAAAAGAAGCTTCTCTAATAAATGCAATTATACAAACATGCTTGAGCTATGTGTCCTATTTAATTCTTGCCCAAGAAAAGCGGCATTCCTCAGGGCACTGCTTTTGTCTGAGTGAAAGAGATATCCAAGTGCCTCAGGCATCCTCTCTGAATCCAGAGTGGCTCTTCTGTGCCCTGGGTGGCAACTAATATTGGGCTTCAGATTCCTCTGAAGAACAGTTAATTCCTCCAGGACTGTCTCAATTCTTTTGCCAGGCAGTGGCTTTATAGCTGCCAGAGTCCTCGCTGCCATCCAGACCTCACAGGCAGCTTTCATTGCTGGATGTGGCTCCCTGCCTGCATGCCCCATGGCATTGTGTTTGCCCACAGAGGTGCTTCTGCTCTGTGGTTAAGGAGCCTTTTGCGTACGTTCTTGCAATTGGGGATCTTCCAGTGGGGCTTTGCCACTTCTGGAGAATACCTTGACACCAAGAAGGGCACCAGGCTAAACACCATGACAGGCTGTACTTGTTCTTTTGTCAGGGCAGTTTTAAATCACGCCTTTAATGTTTTGTTCTCTCTTGCTGGTGAGTGAATTTTCCGGCTCTGCCTTTCATGTGAACAGGACTCACGATGGAGAGAACATCTTAGAGGCTGTTACAGAGCTGCTTGCCGTTAACCCAGGCAGCACCCGAGAAATACTCGCTGGAGCTAATGCGTTGGTACCCCAGCTCTGGGAAGTAGGACCGTTAGCTGGAAACATGCAGCAGCCTCCCCAGTGCGGAGGAGGCAGGAGGCAGTTGATTAGTGCAGATGTGTGTGGGTGTAAGAAACGCGGTCCAGATCCATCCACAGGCTTGCTGGTTGTCGGGCGTAGCTTTGACTTTGCTTTTCTGTGAGGCAGCAGTTGGGCAGGCGTAGGGGTGCATCCCTAGGGCTGGACTGATGGAAGGGGACAACCTGGGAAGGGCAGGGACCTCCCGGAGATTGCTTTATGTGACACAGGGAGAGCACGTTTGTGCTGCCCCAGAGTCGGGTCACTTAACAAATGACCAGTGTTAGTGGGCCAAGGATGTTAAACCTTGAATGTCTCTCTTCTCTCAAAGCTCTGTCTCCCCACTTTTAAGCGTATTTAGTCTGAAATCACTGCTCGTCTGTAGAAGCTGAGGTTTTAACAAAACCAGTAAATATTCCAAGGTTCCTGGTAAGGTGCAAGGTGAAGGATTAAATGGTCCAGAAAAGCTGCTCTTTGACTTTCCCAGCTCCTTGCCCCTCAGTGCATACATTCCCTTAGGTATCTCATAAGGTTACTTGTGTGCAGAGAGCAACTGTGCTCTTGCTCATAAGCACCATATGTTTAATTCAGTGTGTGCTTGTCAAAGTACATTAAAAATGCAGGTAGCACTTGCTACGTGTGAGCCAGCTCTTGTAAGCGAGGCACCGTCACAGGGTAATGTTACAGACTTGACACAAATGGAGCCTGCTGGCTCTTGGAAGTGTCCCGGTTACCTGGAGTGTCCTGCTGGGCTGGCATTGCCTTCGAAACACGTGCTGTAAGATCCCAAGGAAACATGGGGCAGGGAGGATGTGCCACAACTGGTGATTATCTGGTGTGGTTTTGCTGCTGTGTGGTTCTCTCTTGTCCACGTTCATCTCTATCCAGTTGTATCTCGTCCTATGTTTAGATCCAGTCCTGAAGATCTCCCTGGCATCGGTGGGAATATGAAGGCTTGCAGACACCTCAGCAAGGTTAAGGTCTTTTGTAAAATCACTAGACTAGAGGTTGTATTTGTGTGCACAGCACCTTGCACAGACAGGTCCTAATTTCTCAGTTTGGTTCAGCACCCATCTGTGCAGTCTTCCTAAGGGGAATTCACGTCCCGTCAAGTGCAACAGCGGTGTTTCAAAACTGTGGCAGTGGAACGGGAAGCCTCCGTGAGCACCTTGTTTTTAGAAAAGAGACTCAAATCAGTATTTGGCAGCAAGGCTGCATTAAGTAAGGTTGAGGCAGTAGTGTGAAATTCATAAACAGAACTGAAAGGGTGAGGGTAGACATTGCTGGGATATGAGAGGGAAAACGGCTTAACTCTTGAAAAGTACGTTGGGCTTGTACGGCACTGGGAATGCTGGTGATACCAGGTGAAGTGCCCAGTGGGCTGCCGGTACGCCGTGTGGAACGGGCAGGCATTAGAACTGGAGGCAGCTGCTCCCTTCCCGTCGGCAGGACAAGACCTCTGTTCATCAGTGCTCATCTCCTCCTGACATTTCACTTTGTGCTCTTTCCATCTCGAAGACTGTAACGATGTGCGTTTCTCAGGCCCTGGCTGACAGTTGCTGTAACTACCGTTAATGCTGAGGGCAGGTCCTGGTTTCGCCTTATTTCTATCGACCAGCCAACTGAATTTTGTTTTCTTGCCTTTCAGTCCTTTCAAGGAAGCCAAGGACGAGCATACCTCTTCAATTCAGTGTGAGTATATATATAACTTCGTCACCTCTGCATCTCTTAGGACAGATTTAAGAAAACCCTCACGAAGAAGAAAACAAAAGGATAGTCTTCCTTTAGAAAACCTCTGCCTAAGAGTTGGGAGCTTGCTGAAGATGGTTGGAGAAAGAGGCAGGAAATAACACTGATTCATATTTGATTTTATGTTGAGGTTTCAGATAAGCAGCTAGGAAAAGGTGGTTTTTTCGTCATTGAGATTGAGAAATAAGAGCTAACAGATGAGTCATTCTCTTCTCAGAGAATGTAGTTAGACCGGAGTCAAAGTTTTGTAAATGTAGAGAATAAATGATACCTAAATACGAACTTACTTTTTAGACCTAGCATAAAAATTAAGTATAATTTTCCCAATAACTGAAAATAGTTTTGGTGAGATCACTGCTGGGATGTCTTTCAGAAGAACTGCTGATTTCAGTTACATTTTTCAAATTTCCATTTGGGAAAGTAAGAGTACTATTTTATCAATTTGAAAATGAAAATCTTTCTCAAATGCATAATTAGTGCAGTTTACTAGAATGCTATTAATCTTCTGTTCAAAGCTTTATAGAATTTTTAGTTGAATAAAAATTCTGTTTTACCTTTTCATTCTGTTCGGGAACTGCAAGAGATCGTTGTTTCGGGCCCAGCCGTGGTACTCGGTATCCTGAACCTCCTGCTTACGTTTTCAAATACTGCAGTAAAATTGCTGTCAGCTTCATTGTAGCATCTTGCTGTGGAAAGACATACTAATAGGGAGCATCTCTCCTTTTCCCCCAGAGTTAATGTGGGTTGTGGCCCTGCAGAGGAGCGGGTGTTATTAACAGGATTACATGCGGTTGCAGATATTTACTGTGAAAACTGCAAAACCACACTGGGTTGGAAATACGTGAGTACTGGTATCGTTTCTTTTTCCTGTGGACATCTTTGTTCCAGCCCTTTCTGAAGGCATGTGTATGGTATTGTGGTGTGGTGGAAAGACCGTTAACTTGGGAACCAGAAATGCGGGTTCTGGTCTTTTTTCCTTCCTGCGTTTCCATTTTCCCTCCTGTCTTGTGTTTGTTGCATCCATTCAGAGCAGGAGCTCTTTGTGGCTGATGTATTTTTCACTGAGAATTTACACTGTGGGCCTGATTTTGGTGGGTGTCCCTTAGCGATACTTAACATAAATGAGGATAACTTCAATCAGTCTTGTGGTTCATATTGTCTTTTTTCCCAGACGATGTCAGAATAATAGAATGATCCATATGTTGTTAATCCTGTGTCCTTCCCACTGGAAATGCTATTGAACATGAGTTTATCTGTTTGCTGCCTCTTGCTCTTCATAAATTCAATTACCTTCAAATAAAGGCTTATGCTACGTCCTAATTTCTGCTTCAGGAGGCACGCAGCGTACTTGTTTGTCAAAACATTTTGACCAATGTCTAAACAAAACATATACTGTATCTGTGGCCTCTGGACAGAAATATTCTTTAATAAATCAGTTGAAAGGCTATAAAAGTAAAGCATCAAAAATTGATGCGGTAGGAATTCATGCAGAAACACAGCATGGATCTCACAAATGGAGAAGGACACTAAGTACATAAATTGAGTTTATTGTAAAAACAAAATACAAAATTCCGTAAACATAGCAGTAAGCCCAAGCCTCTCCAGCAATAGAATTACAGCATTTCAGATGCATTACATGCATGCAAACAGCATGCCCGAGCAGAGCTGCACCGCTTCTGAGGATGCAGCCTCGGTAACGGGAGTCCCTCCTGGTTAGGGATCCCACAGATGTCCTTACTTCTTCAGTTCTTCAGAGTTGAAGCACCGTGTATTTCTGTAGCTGCAAGCACGCGGCTGTGTAGAGTGGGTCCTTCTCGTCCCTCGGTGTCCGTTCACTCCATTTCCACATGAAGTTTACCATAATCCATCTCGTTCCCGATGGCAGTGCTTTTACAGCATGTTTCATCAGAGGACCTCTGCATTCTTTAACAAACATTAATAAATTCTCAGACCACCCTAGAGAGAGGTGGATTTTATCACCGATGATTCCTAAAGCGTAGTTCAAGGAGCAGTTGCCGTTGGCCTACAGAAAGCTGCACGTTTACATGGTGCCGATTGTTCTTTTTTCCCAGCATGTAAAGACAGCTAGAAGCAGGATTTAAGATTCTTCCAATGTAATTTTCCTGAAAGCCAACAGGAGGACCTGCAGTTTGACTGTTTTACTCTGTAGGCAAGGCTAAGACTCGTACCAGCGTTCCCGGATCTGATCTGCAACTGCGACTTTACCTTCAGATATCATCTTGATCGCATTCTTTCTCCTTTTTTTTGTAGGAACACGCTTTTGAAAGCAGCCAGAAGTATAAAGAAGGCAAATACATCATTGAACTAGCTCACATGATCAAGGATAATGGCTGGGATTGAATGGGAAGAGCCCAGCCCTACCAGCGTGTGAGAGAATGCCATCCAACCGAACATTATATCCAAGAGTGAGAGAGTGACTGAACGCTTGGTTCCATGCATTTAGAGGCTCTGCGATTTGGGAGCATCTTCACACCCTTCTCCATCCTTATTGGTGACTGGCCTCTAAATTTCTGTCTCTCTGTCTCTTTGCTTTGTATCTGTTTGTGAGTTGACCCTGGCTGCTTCTCTCTCTGTTCTGGCGTTGGCTAAGAGAATGCACCGAATGCCCGACAGCCATTCCATGTTGACGAATGTTTAAGTACAAACTGAAGTTGGCTCTGTGGTGGCATTTTATCAGAAGGTCTCAGTGCGGGAGGAAGACCTGAGTTTTGGGCAGGAGAAGGTGATAGGGGGTGGGGAGTGGGCCCGAAGGGAAGTCATCAGAAGTTGAAACTGTACTTCTCCTTTAAGTCCTGGTTAACCAAGGCTTGAAACTGTCTACTTGTCTAAATGGACAGAAAAATACCTCACGGCTGCGTTCTCTCCGAATCGTAAAACCGCTGCTCCATCGGTGGAGCTTCAGTCTAAGCTGGCTGAGCACCAGTTCCCCCCGCAAGCTAATCGCAATTCTGTGTTTTGTTTGCCATTTATGAACTTCTTGTTTGGGGGGGAGGACCTGAAGGCTGGAGAGATTCCCTGCCTCTCCTTTTTCTCGCTGTTTCAGGGTAGGTAGGCCAAACGTCCCAACAGAGCACAGCTGTGGGGAGTGTCCTCACAGCTGGAGAAACCAAATCCTGACTCTTGAGCCCTTCAGAGAGGAGGAGAAAACCACTTAAGGCACAAGGGGGCCGGAGCTGCAGCTTAGAAGATATGACAAGGGGGGAAAAAAAAAAGGCACGTGCTAGGCAAGAAAGAGGAAATAACGTAGAGGGGGATGGGGACAAACTTAGTAATGCAGGGTACCCCTTGATTTCCCGGCCTCCACTGAGCGTCTTTGGGGGTCTTTTACCGGTCCTTCACAAGCGCGAGTAGGAAAATGCTGTTACAGAATCTTTTTCTTAAATCCCAGCTCTTGGAGCCTGGCGGAGAAATGGTGTGAGAGTGGGGAGAGGAGGGAGCAGAGGAGCCTGGCGGGTGGGGGAGTATTCCACAGGTGTTTATTTCAAGCCATGAGGTATCCTCCCCAAAACCTTCCCCCCTTTTCCCACTCCCAGAAGCCTGTTGCAGGCACAGGGGGAATGGGAAAGAAAAAAGAAATTAAACAACTTCCCCCTACCCCTGAAATTGTCTATGCCTTGGAGTTTAAAGGGGTGGGGTAGATGTGGGCATCATAACTGCAAGGGACAAGTCCTTCCCATTTTAATTTTTTCATTTTAATTAGTGTGGACCTTCCCGAGGTGGTTGGTGGGGAAGGGGCGTCGTGTGTGAGAGGGGAGCTGCGTTAGACATAAATGACAATGTGAAGTTTGCTCTGCAACAGTCCAGCCAGTATCTGGTGCATAACTCAAGACTATTTAACCAAATTAGTTTTATCTCTCTGAGTGAATTTTCTTTTCGTTTGTGGAATTCTTTCAAGTAGGTTAATCCATTGGGGGAAATCTTTGTTAATCCAGAAGGAAGGAGTATTGTGCAGGGGTTTGTAACTCCTTATGAAACTGAAGCTTTGGAGCTGTAATCCGTTGTCGCTTGCCCCCACCCCCAGGAGACTCTCAGTTAGCTGTGGGGATCAGGACGGAGGGCTGGTGGTGAGAAAGCAATTTGCTGTTAAATGAAGGGGATGTGAGCAGAGATGCTACTTATGGGTCAGGGTGGAACTTAAGTGTTGGGTCCTTGGGCTGAAACCCCGACCTGATGGCTCATCTAAGCAAAGGCTGTTTTTTCTCTTGAACCACTATTCTTTACAACCTTGGAGAGAGAAGTGAGATGGAGGCTGGCCGCAGCTCCTGCAATGGATGGAGTTGGCTCGGTTTGTGGCTAGCCTGTTAGGAAGTGGCTTTCTGCTGTGGCTGTGTGACAGTTGCTTCAGCTTTCGTTTCTGATCATCTCTGCTTCCATCATCCACATTCCCTTCAGTGGTAAAAATCTAGCGGAAATCAAAAATTCTGCAGTACCTGCTATCTTGTTGACTTTGGCACCGACCTGGTCCCATTTTCCTGTCCTTTGGTTGGTGATCCATGACAATTTATTGGGTTTCGACTAGTGGGAAGTAATTTGCATTCTTTGAAGAGCTCTTCAGGTCTCCCCAGATACGTAGCCTTTAAAGGGGTCTGGTTGGAACTGGGAGAAGTAAGGGATAACCCCAGGTCACTAATATGAGGTTGAGAAAAAGAGCACACGGGCTTACGGTTTTATGTTGGTATTTAGAGTGATTGCCTATAAAAAAAAAGATATAAAAGGTAAGCCTGTCTAGAGGACTGCTCTGAGAAATAAGAACAGTTACTACAGAGAGCTACCAGATGTAAATGTTTTTATCCATATATTTGGGACAAGAAAGGATGATGATCCATCAGATCGGGCTGGTTTTAACTGTTCACAGGGGTTACGCTTTTAATGGCAACCACTCTCAGCTTGAATACGGCAAGATCTTAATCTGGTTTTAATTGGTTTTGTCCCATCAGCATCCACAGAGTCACACTTGCTGAGAATCTGGCCTCAAGCCCTGATAGGAAGAAAGTATGTGTGCCTGTAAACGTCCCCAACACCCAGAGAATGACCTATAGAGTGACTTTAATACACTGTATAGGGAGATGAGGAAAAACGGGCTTGCGAGGCTCATTGCCGTTTGTTCTCTGCTATGTGTCCATTAAATATGAAGTACTTCTTAGTCTGCTGCTAACTCATCTGTGACTTGCTGTATTAAGACACATGACAGTATTGGGAGCTGGTGACCAGACAGGATGATCAGATCTGTATGCTAGTGGCTACCACAGTCGGCGCAGGCTACACTGATGGCTCGTAGAGTGATATATTCAGAGCATAACCAAAGAACCTCATTCTCTGCATCCCTCTGGTCGTGTGAGTGGACTGTAGCCAGTTCGTTAGCAACTGGGGTGAGCAAGGTGGGACGTTGTTTCTGAGCTGGAGGTGTGGCCCACGGAAACTGCCTCCTTGGGCAGGCATTGCCTGAACGCAGAGCACCGAGTGCCCGTGGTGCTGCTTTCCGGGGGTGACATCCTCGAGAAAACACGAACAGCAGCGAGTTTTGCTCTTTTTATGTGGCAGCCTCGTCTCTGGCAAGCTGCGTGCACCCTTGAGTTTACATCACCGCCGTCTACCCCAAAGCTCAGGCTTGAGTAAGTTTTAAAGTGTTTTGCTCTGGTGGATTATCTGGTGTGAAATCCTGATCCCTGTAATAAATATTCAGATGATAATATATACAAAGCAGAAAAGAACCATTATCTTGTGAAATATACTTTTGTAAATAATATTTAATTTTTTTAAAAAAATAATATATTTGGTGCTGTTTTCTCAGAGCCCCTCCCTGAGAGCACTTTTTTGTTGTTTATAAATGATACCGATCCTTCTGTATTTGTTGGAAAATATGTTTAAAGGGAAACAAAAATCATAATATACGTTGTCCTCTTAAGTCGATCCATTTTTCCTCTGGACGTGGCAGGAGAGGGGAGTCACTCCTGCTTCCATCCGGCAGGATTCATCTCCGGCGCAGGCGGGGGCCGGGGTACGGACGGGAGCCCGTGGTCCGGGCAGGTACTGGTGTGTGGGACGGGAGGTAGCTCCAGGCACTCGGGCAGCGCTCCGATGTCTGGAGTTACATGCTGAAACACCTTCACTCCGTGCCGGAGGTCCCGTCCGGCAGCCTGAGCCCCGTGTCAGCTCACGCTCCCACGGTGAGTCCCACAAAAGCCGGTGGGGCTCTGTCTGGGCACGACTTTCCTGAGGAGATCTGGTTTGTAGCATCCGGGCCTGAAATTTTTCTCTTGCACCAGTATTGGCTGGAGTGAAGTAGATACCGAGACTTAGAAATCAGGATTGAATATAAGCTGCAACCTCTGAATCGCTGTTTCCAGTTGCTTGGGGGCAGCAGGGGTGGAGGAGTATAGGATTTCTAATTAGTCATTGTTTTTAAACTAAAACATCAGTCTTTGGACATGGATCCTGGTTTTCTTTTGGTTGTTTTGTTGTTGTTTGTTGTTGGTTTGTTTGGTTTTTAAACCAGGCTGCTACATGACAAATTAGAGTAAAAGTTTACCTCTCTGGCAGTAAAGTTAATTTTCTTTTGTTTTCCTTTGTGTCTTTAACCGCCCCCCTTCTACCCCTTCTTCATTCTTAATTCATTGGGTCTCTTGTTTATCCCAAAGTGGACCAACAGCACAAACCGCTGGACTGTGTTTTGCTGAGCAAGGAGCTGTTTTCAGTGCTGAATAACTGTTGCACGCTCTTTAATTCTCTGTTCTTGGTGCACACGATTTAAAAATCCACAGGAAAAAAAACCCTGCGAATGAAATCTGTTGTTCTTGTGATGATCAAGTGAGAATTTTCTCTGTATGCGTTTTTCTAACTGGTACGTGAGAGTGTGTCAATCATGCGTTTCGCTGCACTTCCTTGTTTGGGGAGGAGCATCGTGCTTCCGTGTGAACCAGTTCTTGGATGAAGAGGTGACACCCAAACACCCGGTTGGGGAAACAGATTGGCGAGAACCAGAGCTCAGCTCGGTGGGAAGGAGCTCTTCTCACCAGGTGAGAGGCCTCAGAAATTAAATGCTCAGAAACAATGACGTTAGACATAGATTCTGCAGAATCCTGTTTAAAAAGAATAAGCAGAAGAGGGGGAACAAAATCATCTTGAATTCAGAAAAAAAATGAACATATTTAAATGCAAGCAGAATGGCATTGTGTAAGGTACAACCACAAATAAGCTATTCTCATAGTTACGAACTGTATGTCTCCTTTGTTTTGTTTTTCATAAGGAAATGGGAATGCTTTCCCTGCTGACAAAACTAAAGGACAATATTTCCGATACCAGCCTGTCTATTGATGCTCTTGTGTTTACAAATTGTGTATACTTTTATTTCTTCGATCTTATTTTAATTTTATTTTTTGGCATATTCTTTCAGGTCATTTGCTTCAGTAATAAATGCAATTGTTTGTTTTCAAATAATTGGTTTTCACCTTTTCATGTATTTGTACATTGTATATAGTTCTTCAGTATTAGAGGGAGGCGTATTGTTTGTCATATTTACAATATGTGTTGGTGCTCATTTGAGAAAATAAAATTTTCAAGTACTAAAACTGCTGGTCCATGTTTCTGTTTTAATCTCCTATACCGTGTGCGAATTGGAGGCAGCAAAATTTGGTTCTTCAAGAAATATGTTACATTTAGCTTGAAAATAGTCAGATTATCCTCTTTTCTGACACCTGCCGGTCCGGAGCAGTCGCCTGGTGTGCACTTGAATCACTGCAGCACGTAGAGACTGTGGTCACGGGCGAGGATCCCGTCGGGCAGAGCAAAAGGATGATCCGTAGCCCCCGAAGCCTGCGATGTAGTACAAGAGGGAACCCCAAATGGACCAGGAGACAGTGCTGACGCCTGGCACCGTCGTACCATACCCGAGTGCCTTTCCCTAAACCAGAGCAGCGAGGGAAGCACATACTTTGTTTTGTGAGGAATTACACGACTTTAAGGTGTTTTTCAAGCAGCAACAATAACGAGAAACCCATGAAATAAACCCCCCTAATTCTCGTTAAATCGTTTCCCATGGATGAAGGGTTTTGTCAGCACCGTTACGTAGCAGTGCCTACAGCGGTAGAATGGTCACGACATTCCCAGCGGCCAGAAAACCACCCCGGGGTTTTTAAGTTTTGCTTGTTGGTAGAGTTCACTGTGCAGCTCCGCGTCTTGTAACGTCGTATTGTGGTGACTGTAGGAGATGCCTGTTACTCACAGGTGAACCAAAGCATCGGTAAAGCCGTCTGGCGCGTTCGGGTATTTGCAAGTCAAACGTCCGTTTCAGAAGTTCAGCAAACGAGATTTCCCTGGGTTCGATCCGCACTAGGCCTGAAGCAAAGAAAACCTGTGCGTGGGAAGCAGAGCTTGCGCGTCGGAAGGAAAGAGAGGACAGAGGGGCGACCCTTCAATATTAAAATACAGAGCAGTTCCTTTGAATTGTCCATCTCGGATAGACGCTGTGACATTTGTACGAATCATTTTTGCTAGCTGCAGCTGCGGCCTGCCACCACTCATCTCATCTGGTGGCGTCCAGAGAATTGCTTCCCTGCTCCCAGGTGAGCGGGGTACAACGGATCTGATTCCCGGTGCCTTCAGCTCGAAAATCCATTTGAGACTGCGGTCGGATTGAAAGCAGCACTTTATTTGAGGTGATTTTGGATGAGCTGATGCAATCCCTCTTCATCCCACTGCTGAAGACGGCTGGGACCTGTCCCCGTGCCCTGTGCCAGTGCCCGGCAGTTCACCGTGCCGCCGCACGCCGGCTGAGCGCCCTTAATTCCCCGCGTGTCTGAAAAAGCAACTTAACCCTCTTTGGAGAGGACCTGGTTGTGCCAGCTGCTAAATGCCCTGAACTCCAGGTGTAGCTCAGGCCGCAGCAAGAAAAGCTGCACCTGAGAGGTCGGAGGCGAGGAGGAGCCGGGGGGGTTGTGGGAGGCGGGTAAGGAGCCAAGGAAGATGCGGCTGCGAACCGGCGTCCCGTGCGTGCCCGTAGCGTGGGCAAACAGGTTCAGCTGATGGGACAGTTGATACAATTAATTGCTTGCCCAACGGGCTCAAGGTAATTTGAGTTCTTGGTTTCACGAAAACCTTAATTTGCTGTCATTGGCGCCGCGCCTGCCTGTGACGTGCTGGGTGTGTGCTCCGGAGGCTGATGGGAGGATGAGACGTGCGCTGCCTCCGCCCTGCGCAGCAGGAAGGTCTCGGGGATGATGACATCTCCAAAAAATGGGAGGCAGGTTCCTTCGGGCATGCCGTGGTGCCTGGAGATGAGCACGGTCTGGTGCGGGGCAGCTCTTCACCGCTGGGCTGTTACTGGGCTTGTTCCTGCAAACCCCTGAAGCTGCTGTACACGAACGGCCGCTGCCGGGTCGCTCAGAAAGCCCAAAGCTTTTAACTCTCTTTCCATCTCGTGTTGTCAAGACAAGCAATGACTCCATTGCAAGGGCAGCTAACCAAGCGCCCGCGTCCCCTGCCCGTGCACGCGTGCACAAGAAGAGGGATTTGGTTTCCGCTGCCGTCAGCTGTTCCCGATGGGGCGAGGACACGGGCAGCGCGGTCCAGCCCCCGATGGCAAGGCTGGTGCCTCCCGCTGCACCCCGTG